AACAATAATGCGTGAGCTTGAATCTTCAATAAGGATCATGACTTGTTTCATCTTATCACACATAACTTTAAATCTACAGTCGAGACACAGCTGCGGACGCCGTTCCTGCATAAAACAAGTGAACGTTATTACAAATGCATTATCCCCCACTGCTTTCCCTCTGCCTCCTTCATCAAAGTCCTCTGCCGTTATACAGTCTGCTTCACATACAGAAAAACCTGGTACACGGCGGCTCCTCATTCATATAGATAGATAGAAAGATACTTTATTGATCCCCCGAAGGAGAAGTTCAGTATTTTCAAAACACTGCAGTCTGTGTTCTGACGAGGACCAGGAAGTATGACCACTTCAGTCCAGGTCTCTGCGCTGGCTTCCTGTGGCTCAGAGAATATACTTGTCTGCTTGTTACACGTCTCTCCTTGGCCTAGCAACAAAGTACAACTGAGACATGTTAGGGCCGTATGAACCAACATGGAATCTGAGATTTACAGGGACTGGCCTCCTGCCTCCAGTGTCAGAACTAAACATGGGGTGGCAGCATTTCAAATTTATGCAGCCAAAGTCTTCCTGAAAATGGGGGACAGGCTTCTTCTCTGACAATGTTGAAATTCAGGTTCTGTTTATTAGCTGTGCATACAACTGTGGGATTTTTATCTTCACTCTTTTTTGCCGTACTATGATTATATAAGATTTAAATGTATAGTTGTTTCTGTATTGTCTTGTTCAGCACTTTGAGTTGCCCAGTGTAGGAACTGTACTACACAGAGAAACCTCCCTTACCTTGCCTCTCTTGTTTAGATGCGCCAACCCAGCAGCAGTAGCCACACCAGCCTTTTTGAGAACTGTAATTTCCCAGGCCCCTATTGTACCGGTGATGGGTGAAAGATCATGGAGGCGGGAAGGAGATGAGATCCTGAAAAGCCTGTCATACTGAAGTCCAGGATTCACAAGCTGTGGCAAACCATTCATTTAAAATAATGTTATGTTTCCCTCCCACAATGTGCTCTCCACAAGCTGCTATTATATGCCCAGCTATTGTGGCAACATGTTATTACGCCACTGGCAACGTTTGTCTTCTTGTCCTCCAGGCAATGAAAGAAAGTTGGTTAATCTGTAAATGTACAGGAGAAAACACTATTTTTAGTTTTCTTAGACCCCGGCAGACACAACACGATTGCAGAAGGTGAAAGAGATTATGAGATGAATCCCCCCGAGAAGAAGGGTAAAAGAGCTGGCCCCGAATGAGGAGGGAATGGGGAGGAGGAGGGTTGTGTTGAATGAGGCCTCGAATGAGGCCTCGTTGAGATGGAAATGCTGCGTCAGTAAAACTTTAGAGTTGAGTATCGGTTTGTAACCTTGCCTGCAAGCTGAATTCTCAAGGTATTTGTGAGTTCACAAACATATGAGACTACATCTTGTACCACTCCTGCTTACACTTTTCGGGTAGAACATCTAATTGTTCTTCCCAATCATGGGCCAGTCTTGAAGATTAGGGTGGGATATCCTCTTTGACGAAAGCAAGCAGTGCCGAGCAGAGGAAAAACAAACATGGTCACCCAGCAGGACGGACATGTAGCTGAGGCTATCAAGTCAGTTTTAGCACACGTGCATTTCTGGACGGCAAAGCCAATGACAACATACTCATTTGTTACTGTGATAGGCTTTAGTCAAACTGTGGTAGGAGGGCCAACAGCGTCACGTTGCCCCAATCAGCTTGAAGTATTCTCCTACCTGCTCCTCCTTTCCCATAAAGGAATCTCCTGCAGAAGTCCCAGATTGATATTGTGGAGAACTGATTTGAGTCCTACACTATCAACAATCTGGATTTTGCCAGGTTAATCGGTGGAGCCTCCTGTTTACAGTACTTCTGAAACAGTCGGGAACAGTCTGTGTGTGTTGTCATTAAGGGCATGGCCAAAACAATGAAAGGGCTGTAAACATTCTCATGTTACTTTCCAACTGTATATTATACAGAATCTGCCACGTTGCAATAACCTACTATAATCTTTCCAGTTTATAATGAGTGGACTTTAGAAATGCAAGCACTGTTGTTGCTGAGGTCTGCTTTATTCTTGGGATTCTCCTATCCTGCACTGCACAAAAATATAAATTATGAGGTAATTTTGCTTGAATTAATTATCTTCATTATTAATTTCAGTCTTAAAACATGCTTTGCCAATGGGACAACACCATTTTGTTATATTACAAAAACCTTTGTTTTATTTTCTCATTCCAAAGGAGACATTTCTTGTATCCTTTTAAATAAAAGTTCATTTTGCTACGTCCCATTGGCAAGATCTTGTGCTCACGTCAAGATGAAGCAATTTTTCACTTATTTTGTATCACTTTTTGAAGTGTGTGTCGCCCTCTCCAAATCAAATTCAATGCATAAAAAGGTTCGCCAAGCTTGTTGTCTCACGTTCATAAGCAAATAGTATGAACTTAGTGCTGGGATTTGCAGGGAAGAGCAAAAAAAGCAAGGGTTAAGTTTGGGACCATTTTTAATACAAATAAAACTTTGTATAAAAAAAACAACATGCTTCACACACTTTGTTAGTTTTTTTATGAGCTTTTACAAATACATCGTCAGATAGCCAGGCACTGTTTCTTTTAGTACATTTTCCCCCAGTGTTTGGATATGTCAGGACATAAAGCAAACGTTATTGGCCTATTTAATTACATACAATGACTTGCCACCTAATTTGGAGAGCACTCACGTTTTCATCTTTAAAGAAACACAGAAAACACATGAAAAGCAGTTTGGAATTTACAACACAAATGATCGATCCATGTTTGTTTTTCACCGAGACAGTGGGCCTCAGAGCGTGGAGAGAGCCAGGTTGGAATCAGTCTGAGAGGGTTACGTGTGTGAGCGTGTGTTCTTCTGTCGTGAGATGGTGGAACCGTTTCTAAGAGGTGTATCACAGATCTCATCTTTAGGGAGGAGAGTGCGTAGATCTCAAGTCAGGCTGGGCGATATAGCAATAAAGTTAAATCTCAATTTTAGTGCACACATTTTTCATTGATTCCGAACCAAGACTCTGAGCAGCAAACAATAATAAAATAAGAGTTAATAAATTCTTGGTTTTTATCTTAATTTGAACAGATTCTGACTGTTTTAAAACTGGATTTGCCAATGGGACAAAGCCATTTAGTCTTATCAAGAACTGATGCTTTATTTTCTCATTTGTATCTTGTATAGTTTTGCTTTTTCCCATTGGTAAATCTTGTTTTAAGGCAGTCAGAATCTGCTCAAATTAAGATTCATTTTACCGAATTTGAGCAACTTTTAACTTATTTCTCATCCCTTTTTTCAGTGTGTTGTACAGATTCTTCTAGATGTACTTCAACAGGTCCTGGTTACATTCCTCTGAATGTGAAGTGACCAATCAACTGTCTTGCACTGTTGTGTGACATCACAGCTGCTCCATAAACTGTGCGGATCTTGGACTAACTGCCTGTGAAGCTCAAATACATTTAGATAATTGTTCAAAACTTAGTTGTGCATCATATATCAACATCAGTGCAAAAAGCAGCACTACCTCAGGGTCTTCATCCCCACCGCTCTCAGACCTCACTGACCTGCACTAGGACTGTGGACTTGCACTGCTATTGTCGCTTTTTAAAAATCAAATACCTTTATTGCACAACAGTTATTCTTAATCTTTTCACTTTTTCACCATGTTTGCACATTTGCTGTTTTTTGCACACCCTGAGTGATAACATTCATGCCAAATGTCACATGTAAATAACGTAAGATCAATAAAATTGTATCTTATCTTATGTAATTCATTCAGTTCACTTTGTTGAATTAAGTAAATGGACTTTTCAACAATATTCTCACAAGTTTGTTTGTATGCATTCAGTCCATCATGTATTTAATAGGTGTGACTTTAAAATTATATACATGGTAGTACAGGTACATCTAAAATAGATGTCAAACCTTTTCCCCAAACACTGTTATTTGTGGATTTCTTTGTTTTATACACGCTGTGTATGATTCAGATAAACTAGAGGCCTCTAGAAGCAGATGCCATGATCTAAAGCTCAAATTCACAATTTAGATTTTCCTCAATTATCAAAAAAGTTCTTGCCCAGCCCTGACCTCAAGGGCGCACTTCAGTGTGTGTGTGGTAGTAGATGTTTTAGCTTGAGTTTATCTGGAGTAGAATGTGGCAGTGATGGAGGCTCCCCCCGAAACAGAGCGATCCCGTGTGCAGCGCGTGTGTTAGCCGTTAGCTCCTGGTTGAACACATAGATCAGAGGGCAGTGGCAGCCGTGGAGCTATAGCTGGTCATACAAATTATGGCCTCACTTTTAAGCACAGATAAACACTTATTAGACCTTCACCATTTTGAGAACACTGTAAACGTACAAAACGGCCCAAACAATAGTAACAACGCTGCAACATATTTTGAAACGCATTCCAAAGATACTCTTAGTAAACTTTTTCTTTTTTCTTTTCTTTTTTAACAACACAACACTGGATGTTGAAACTGGCATGCTCAAATCAGCAAGGACCATATTAAGAGGCAAAAGTCCACGGGATCCGCAAAGAGAGACCGTGTTTTTGCATTGCAATGATTACTGACACCAGGCACACCATAAATCTCTTTTATAAATCCGTGGATATATGTATACTTATATATATTTTTTGGTGTTTGTTATGTCTTTGATGATATCCTGAAGGAGAACGGAGGAGAACACCTGATGTCTTCATTGATCTTCTGATTGGTCGGTCAAGTCCTGGACCAAACCCATACAATGTAAACAATCCAAGTTTAAAGTTTCAAGGCCTCTGCCATGCAATTCTTCTTTATTCCGTTAGTTCCATAGTATTTGTGAGGCAGAAAGTAGATGATGACCATACAATTATTAGCAGCACTGTCACACAACGAGGGCCACTGCTTTATGGCCGTGTTATGTGTGTGTGTGTGTGTGTGTGTGTGTGTGTGTATATGAGATTCACGGCTGGACTCCGACCGTAGATGCTTGGTCCTTTAGATTGCATGGTTGCTGTAGCTGATGTAGGTTTGTTTTGTGGCTGTGGAGGGAAGAAGAGAGAGATAAGTTAGCGGCTGGGGTTTGATTTCACACATAACAAAGTGAGAGACGACATTGTTTATTTAGTCAGAACTAAACATGGGGAGGCTGCTTTTCAGATTCATGCTGCTAAAATCTGGAACAATCTTCCTGAAGATGTGAGACAGGCCTCCTCTCTGACAATGTTTAAAACCAGGTTAAAAACAGTTCTGTTTAGCTGTGCATACAACTGGGGGATTTTATGTTTTTATCTTTCTTTTTAATGTTCCTTGATTATTTAATATATGATTATATTTTAATGCTTTCTTGTTCAGCACTTTGAGTTGCCTTGTGTATGAATTGTGCTATACAAATAAACTTGCCTTGCCTTGCCTTGCCTATTTTAACACATAATGGGAGGAATGATGAAACCTAAAGTTTCATATCATGCATTCATTTTGGCCATTGAAAACAATAGTGGTACTTTTTACTCTGCCAATGCATGTGTTTGGCTAGGCAAGGTGAGTTTTTGCATAGCACAGTTCATACACAAGGCCACTCAAAGTGCTTGACAAAACAAAATAGGAAAAAACATATGACCATTAAAATCATTCATTGTTATTTTGCCCTTGATGTGTTAAAGATACAGTTTTCTATATTTGTGAGTTTACAGTTGGACTTGTACGGCATGATATTAGGACTCAACTCTACCTCCACAAGACCGTAATCAAAGCAGCACTAGCATTACCACACTGTAATATAATATAAAATGGGAATGATTGGGTTCACGCTAGACCAAATCAGGCGAGCATTCATACTTCCACCATTTCAACTTTACACCATCCATTCTCCCGTTTCCTTCAACCTCCAATCCATCTTTATTTATAGAAAGAAGAAAAAGAAATCAAAAACATCAAAATTACCACAGTGCGTTAAAAAAAGAGTATAGATCAAATCCCTCTAGACCTGGATTTCAACATTGTCAGAGAAGAGGCCTGTCTCACATTTTCAGGAAGAAGATTTTAGCTGCATTAATGTGAAACGCTGCCTCTCCATGTTTAGTTCTGCCCCTGGGCACCAGAAGGAGGCCAGTCCCTGTGCTGCTCAGAGTCAGAGCCGTTTCTATGGCACCAACATTCCTCCTTCATTCAGGACCTTGTAGCCCAGGGGTGTCCAAACATTTTAGTAAGAGGTCCCACTTTAGTTTAGCCAGACTAGTCCAGGGGCCGACATCACGGACTGAAAAACTGCCCTGACTGGCCTCGAGCTGTTCTGAGCTTTAAAATTATAGTAAGTAAGTGATCTTTATTTATACAGCGCCTTTCTCAGACCAGAGTCACAAAGCGCTTTACAATTGTTATTTTTGAGTATTTGTCTCAGGAGGCGCATGCCAGACCTATTGTGCATGTTTTTAGTGGAAGGGGAAACCGGAGCAGCCAAAGAAAACCTACACAGACACGTGGAGAACATGCAAACTCCACTCAGAAAGGTCCTGTTCCTTTCTGAGTGGAGTTTGCATGTTCTCCCTGTGTTTGCATAGGTTTCCTCCAGGTTCTCCGGTTTCCCCTACCACTAAAAACATGTACAATAGGTCTAAATGTAAATGAGTGAATGGATGGTGTTGTTTGGGGGCTTTAATGCGCCAGTGTGTTCGGCGACTCGCTTCCGTCATCACCGTGTGTGGAATGATTGGAACAATATTCTGAACATTGTAAAGCGCTTTTGGTGACCTTGGTCTGTAAAATGTGCTATATAAATAAACATGACTTACTTACTTACTTTGGGTTTGCAAGACAGGGCCACATAAAATGACACTGATGACCACATTTGGCATCAGGGCCTGAGTTTGGAAATGCCTGTTGTAGCCAAGGTCGTGGAGGTCCTCCCCCCACATTCCTACCCTCTCCATCCCAATACCTCCATGCAGCACAAAGATACTCCAGCAGGAGGCCCCAACATTCCCCCGTGGACTGTGTGCTACGCGATTCGCTGAAGTGAAGCAGATAAACACGCCACTTCTGCATTGGAACGATTTTCATCCACCCTTATAACCACATATTCCACGACAATGACAATCGCTAAATGCTAATCGTCCTAAATGCTAGTCGTATCAGGACGGATGGCAATGCCAATCAATCTGCCTATTGCTGAGGCAGAAAGCACCAAATGTATTGTTATCAAAAGATAGTGTTAGATGTAAGCTCAGTGTGTTTATGGATCCAACAAGATGGCAGCAGTCGCAAAGCTATCTTTCTATCGAGTTTTAGGTTGTGTTCCAAATAATCTTGAAAGTATTTTTAATTTTTCTCTTGGGATGAATTTTCCGTTCCATGGGTGCCACCTCTAGGTCCTGGCTGGCCCCTCTGACCAATCCTGTGTGACCTGAGAGTAAAAGCCAAACAGTGTATGTTGAGTGTTATGTCCCATTGAGGCTATCCGCTGTAATTAGCCAAAGAAATAGAAAACAAACTGTGAATCACCACACTGAGTCACATTCTGCTGGTTTGTTTACTACAGTACAAAGCATCATATGTGAGTTATTCATTGATTAACTGGTTTTAGGAAAAAGGAAAGATTCAAATGAGTTCTCTCTGTGGGAAGAAAATCAGTAGAACAGCAGTTTCTGGCACCTGGTTTCTTTTTATTTCAAGTCAGTGCAAATGTTTTGTGTCTAGTTTGCACCACAATGATACGTTCAGAGGACTCTGGTCTCTGCTCTCTGGGGTCACTCTCTCTGGTCACTCTCTCTGGTCACTCTCTGGTCCCTCTCTGTAGTCTCGCCCTCTGGTCTCGCACTTTCTGGCCCATCTCTGGTTCCTCTCTGGTCTCTTTCTAGTCTTTCTTTCTCTGGTCTCTTTCTGGTCAGTCTCTTTCTCTGGTCTCCCTGATCTTTTTCCGGTCACTCTGTGGTCTCTCTCTCTCTGGTCCCTCTCTCTCTCTCTCTGGTCTCATTGGTGTCTCTCTCTCTGGTTTCTCTGGTCCCTCTCTATCTCTCACTGGTCTCTCTCTGGTCTCTCTCTAGTCTCTCTCTCGTCTCACTGATGTCTCTCTCTCTGGTCCCTCTCTAGCTCTCACTGGTCTCTCTCTGGTCTCTCTCTAGTCTCACTGATGTCTCTCTCTCTGGTCCCTCTCTAGCTCTCACTGGTCTCTCTCTGGTCTCTCTCTAGTCTCACTGATGTCTCTCTCTCTGGTCCCTCTCTAGCTCTCACTGGTCTCTCTCTGGTCTCTCTCTAGTCTCACTGATGTCTCTCTCTCTGGTCCCTCTCTAGCTCTCACTGGTCTCTCTCTGGTCTCTCTCTAGTCTCACTGATGTCTCTCTCCGTGTTCTCGCTCTATCTCTCACTGTCTTTCTCTGGTCTCTCTGATTTGTCTCTCTGGTTTCTCTCTCGGGTCTCTCAAGATAAAAAAATATTTTATGTCCATTATAGAAAATTCTGGTCTGTCTTTGGTCTCTCTGGTCTCTTTCTGCTAAAGTTATAGAATGTTTCCTATTGTACTGAGTTATGTAAATGGTGATGCAACACTGAAGTATATAACGAATAACGGATCTCTTAATCTTTAGGACACTCAACATACACAACAAAAAATATATAGCGTTGGATGAGTTAAAACAGGACCCCACAATTTTCTCATTTGGGACAGGGGAAAGAAAACACCTTGATAGCAACTCAGTCATTTCTAGCTCTCATAAGGCCGATCCTCCCACCTTTGCATTTGTTTTTGTCCGCCTTCCTCTTTCTTTAAACTTGGACAATGCCGTCTTTTGTGGCACCACCTCCCACCATTTTAGAGACAGCTGTAATCCGTTTTTCCTTCACTCTAATACCACTTCAGTCTCTTCTAAATTGTAAACACTTTAATATATCTCACACGCCCAGAGGCAACAGCCAATTCTCCTCCCTTTGTAAATGAACGGCCGGAGGAAATTTGCACAAATCAATGATGCGTTAAATGAGATGGTACACCGGGTAATAGTTAGCAATATTTTACTCTGCTACGTGTCTAAGCAAACGCTGAGACTTAGGGAGAAGAGCCTCGACCTGCACTTCTAGTCCTCCAATGTGTCTCCTGGGAACATGGGCTTATCCGACCAATCAAGTCTGCAACATAATTTGACTTCAGGTCGAGCCTTTACTTAATAGTGCTCATATACATACTGTGTTTGTGATAATTAAATGTCACGGATGTTGTTTCAAAACACAAGGCCGGCTCTAAACGCAAAATCATTTGAAATAGAACGTTATTCCTTCAATGTTGTTAATATCAATGTGCTGGGACAAGGGAAACGAGTGGATTGCTTTAACACTAGGACTTGACCAGAAATGTGAAACTGCAAGAACCTCCCTGACGTTCATTTTATAATAATACATGGTTTTTTTTCCTTGACTCACTTTCAATAAGAGCTAAAACTGGTTAATATATTTTGAAATACAGCCGAGATAGTTTGTTAAAATGCTAATGCTAAAGATCAAATGCTAACTGCTAACAGTAAACGGTGGGTTGCTATGGTAATCAGCACTCGCTTTTCTGTAGTGGAAAACCATGCTGAACCAGAACCAGTCCAGGACCGTGAAAAAAGGCTTTAACTGTCATGGAAAGAAAGCAACCCAAAAGAGCTGAATTTGAATTATTTGGTAGAACTATTTGCATTTTAACACAATTTTATATAAATAAAAATGATGATATAAATAAAATATGAATAGAAACAGAAAAAGTCACAAAGTTATTAAGACCAAAAATGTACATGAGCTGGGTAGTAGTAAGAAAGGTGTAAAATGCCACTGCAAACATTACAATGTATAGTTAATTACTTGTAACTAGAATTATGATATATATTCTTTCGTTTTTTTTAAACTCGTCATTAAAACATATAAAAACAAACAAAATAGCATACTTCAAATCATGGATGGTTATAGCTTGATTGTCCATTAAAGACGTTTTTTAACATTTACACATTTAAAAGTCGTGAGCAGCGTGTGTGTGTGTGTGTGTGTGTGTGTGTGTGTGTGTGTGTGTGTGCGTGTGTGTGTGTGTGTGAGAGAGAGTTCTTACACTGTGTTTCCAGGCTCTCACACAGCTCGGTCTTGGCCTCGCCGTTGGGTCTGAGGCCGACCTTGGGGTTGAACTTGTTAGACATGGTGGCGGCGGTGACCACGGCCTTCAGACTGCGCGTCCGCTTGGGCACGTTCTGCTCCGGGTGGAAGAGCACCACGTAGACCTTGGGCATGTAGAGCAACCCCAGAGACACGGAGGCACTGAGACTCACCGAGATGGTCAGCGTGGTCGTCTGGATGTACAGCTGCAGAGAGACACAGACCAGCGTTTGTTAAAAGGATCCTCAATATAATCATTAGGGCTCTAAGAATTATGCAACTACTACAACTAGGCAAAGTTTATGTTTATAGCACAGTTCATACCCAAGGCAACGCAAAGTGCTTGACAAAACAAGATGGAAACAATCTCACAAGGCATTCAAATCATAAATAATCACAGTACAGTAAAAAAAAAAGAAAAGATACAATCCCTTGTGTGCACATCTAAATAGAACTGTTTTTAACCTGGATTTGAACATTGTCGGAGAAGAAGCCTGTCTCAAATTTTCAGGATGATTGTTCCTAATTTTAGCTGCATAAATCTGAAATGCTCTCACCCCAATGTTGCAAAAAAAATATCCCCGAAAACAATGTATCTTTATTAAGTCACAATTAAGTGATTCATACGTTTTTTCTTGTAGTTTTTTTTTTAATCTTTAGTACAATGCAAGTAAACAGTGTGTTGCTATGGTAACCAGTACTTCCTCCAAATAGAAAAAGTCACAAAGTTATGAAGACCAAATATTTACATAAGCGGTAATTATACTTCAGAATTAAAAAGCCAGTCAAATGGACAGCTCTGGGAACTCTAATGTCAAAGGAGAAATATTATGCATTATGTTTGGTCATTCAAAACAATCTTATTCCAAGGGTGACAAAAATTGAGCCATTTTGGACATATTTTTCATCCCTTTCAGCAGGGTAAGTACTGTATTACCTCTTACTGTACTTCTTCCAGAGTGGTCATTTCATACACAGTTACATCCTTTGCACATTCCCAGGAGTTTTATTTTCTGTTATATTTTCCTCTGAGCTGTGGCTTGTAAAGTGCTAGTGGCATCTGCTGTGTGTCTTTCTAATTAGAGCAGCCACTGACCCGCGAGTTGACCAAGCTGGTGTGCATCCACGGTGACTGAGGCACATATGCAGTTCTCTACAGCGATGGGATGAAGCGTTTCTATAATGTCTGCTCATCTACAGTACTAGTTTTTTTTTTATGGGCACACAACTGCCACATTGGCACTACTGTTGCCATTGTATTTGTGTCGTGTAGAAAATGCAACTCGCAAACAATTATTTCGAAAATCACTAATCAGGTTGTTAAGACATTTTGACAGTGTCTCCTTCTGCTGAAACTTAGAGAATTCCCCACAAACTCTTAGATTTTGTTGAACTTTTATAGCTGCGCCATAGAAAGTTTGTTGGTTTTGTGACTTTGTGGTTTGATGACATCACAGACAAATAAAGGAGAGCTCTAGATAAGTGAGACCAGAGAGAGACCAGAAAGAGAGACCAGAGAGAGACCAGAGAGAGAGCAGAGTGAGACCAGAGAGAGAGCAGAGTGAGACCAGAGTGAGAGAGAGACCAAAAAAAGATACAAGAGAGAGAGAGAACAAAGAAAGAGAGCACAGAGATAGAGACCAGAGAGAGAGCTGCCTGTTCTGGAGGTCCTTTAGGACAAATCAAAGACTCTTCTGGTTATCAGTTTGAACAAAGCACTTGAACGATCTTGCGCTTGTGTTAAAGCTGCTTTTGTTGATTCATTTCACAGCAAAATTTTTTCCTTCACCTTTTTGCCTTGTTTTATTAGTACTTGAAACCTGTACAATTAACCACTTTAATGGCCAGCATTAGAAATGAAAAAAATCGCAGTGCTAAAGTCGCTTTCCATTTTTTTGTACAAAATATCTTGCACGAAAGAGGCTATATTTAAACCATTTCCAACATGTTTGCATTTTTGTTTTTAAATTTTCTTATCTTATCTTTTCTGGTGCACACTGAGGACTTTTGCACATTTATTCCAATGTGGTTTTACTGCAAATGACAATTTTGTCTGAGTCTGAATACATGTTGTCATTATTCACTGTATTCTTTAGGTCAAGCTGCTTTCATTTATGCAATATTTTTGAACAAATAGGTGAAGAATAACATCCCCATCGAGATACATAGGCTGCTTTGAAATTCTCTTTGCAAGGATCACCCGAAGGTAGAATGCTGTCCTTTAGATTTAATGATTTTTATCTCTCAATCGGCTTTCAGGGTATGTAGAAGGAGGTCTTTCTCATGTCTTGTATAATATTATCAAAAGCTTGTCAGAAGTACAAGGGAATAAAAACAAGCTTTGTTAAAATCCATCTGTGAGGATCTATACCTCTGACGAACACTCACCTTGTTATTTCATGTTTTCGAAAGTAAAATAAGATCTTCACCTGGTTAAGCCTGTACAATGAAATAAATGCCTGGTGTGTTTACTGAGCCGTGCAACATAGAAAAAAAATCTAAAATGAGCAATTTGCAGGAACTTTTGCAGAGTGCACTCAAAAAACAACAATTCCACTGATTGGTTAATAATTAATTGGATTTGACATAGTTATTGGTGAGAATGACCAATTCTCACCAATAACTAGGACTGGTTGAAGCATAGCTAGCTAAGAAACATAGCAGCTACTTACTTTGTCCCATACCCTCATGTTCTGATGTATAGTAGTAAGTATTTAAGTAATGTTTATTTATATAGAGCATATTACAGACCAAGGTCATCCAAAGCGCTGTACAATTGTTCAGAAATCAGATTGTCAAATCAAAGCTTCGGACCAAACACCATCCATTCACTCACTCACTCACTCATTACATTCATACGGTACCTATTGTGCATGTTTTTAGGGGTAGGGGAAACTGGAGCACCCGGAGGAAACCTACGCAGACACGGGGAGAACATACAAACTCCACTCAGAAAGGCCCTGTTCCAACCGGGATTCGAACCCAGCACCTTCTTGCAAGTGCAAGTAAAGAGATGTATGTATACATCTCTTTACTTGCACTTGACTAGATTATACTGTATGTTATACTTGTTTCTTTATTTTGCTAAAGTTACAGATTTTATACCTGCTTCTTTATTATGCTAAAGGTAAAGTTTGTATTTTATTTTAGTATATAGAGTTATTGTTCATTTATCTTGTGTTGTGTGCCTCTCATTCTTACTGTTCTGTAACCGGTGATGCAACTCTGAACATATCCCCACTGTGGTACGAATAAAGAATCTCTTCATCTTAATCTTTACCTTAATTTCTGCAGTTTTGCGGTCAGTGTATGCTTCAAACCGTTCCTATAGCCTCAAACAGGACATTTAGAGGCTCGTTTTAGCATAATTAGGATAGATGGCGACTATACTGTCTGCATATGGGCACGGAGATAGTTTCACTTTGTTTGCATGGCCCAGTGCATGGTCTAACAGTGGAAGCTAACCCGCCTGCGACCCTCTTACATCTGTTATTCCCCGGTCTGGTCTTTGCCTCGTGGCCATGTGTGTGTGTGTATGTGCAGCCAGAGCTCGTCTCCGGTGGCGACGCTGGCAGGAGAATAGACTGTGAGGAAGAGGACAGATGTGCGTCCCGGACCAGCTGTGGTGGCTCTGTTCTCTGCTCCCATCAACAAAGGGTAACGAGGGTTTGCTGCCACCCACACAACAACGTCCAAAAGACCTTAAAGCGTCCAGGCTATGTCCCTGTTTTTAAAATGTGCGACAATTACAGGACAATGAAAATATATTCGATCATAAGGTTTAGTTCAAATTATCCATTTGAATTCTTTGATGGCACGGAATGAGCAAGCACACAAAATGAACAAAAAGTGAACAATTATAATGAAATCTCCAACTTTAGCATAATAACGAAGCAATGACTGAGTATAAAATGTCTGACTTTATTATAATGAAGTGGCAATGACTAAGTGTAAAATGTCTAACTTTAGCATAATAAATAAGTAAGTATAAAAGGTGCCTAAACAGAGCACTTTAATTCCTGCTTTTACCCCTTGTATCGTTTTTGTTGATCAGTGCCACAGTGTCAGCTGTTTTTTTATTTCATTATTTTCAGTGTATGTGTATTTTATATTACATTGTATCGAGCTCTTTATTCTGCGGTGCACACAGAGTACCTTTTTTGCAAATGTATTCCAATGTAGTTTTTATACTGCACATGGCTAATAAAATTAATCTGAATCTGAATCTAAAAAATTCAGATTTGAATCTGAATTTGAATCTGAATCTAAAAGATTCAGATTCACCGTGGTGCCATCGTGCCGCCCACGGTGGCTGAGTGGATAGCACTCTCGCCTCTCAGCAAGAAGGTCCTGGGTTTGAATCCCGGTCGGACCAGGGCCTTTCTGAGTGGAGTTTGCATGTTCTCCCGTGTCTGCGTAGGTTTCCTCTGGGCACTCCGGTTTCCCCTACCACTAAAAATATGTACAATAGTTCTGGCATGCGCCTCCTGTACTGGCGACCCCGCTCCCAGCTCTGTGTGGAGTGAGAGGACAAATGCCCAATAACAATTGTAAACCGCTTTGTGACTCTGGCGATATATAAATAAAGATTACCTACTTATGTATGGACATATTTTATATTATATCCCGACCTCTCTCACCTGAACCTTGACCCTGCTTATACGATGGATCAATAAACATTATCTCTCTCTTGTTGTCCTTTAATTAGTCATTAAACAAAAACAAAGCCAAAACATCCTTTTCCACACATTTCCAACATCCACAAACCCTGCTATAATTTGTGCCGACATGTGAGGCGACTCCTGTCCGGTACACACTCCATTATGTACTTGAACCTGGAACATGTGTGCAACACTTCCTATTGATCTTTCCAATCGATACAGCCCTGTGTGCAGCCGAGACAATGCGCCCGGGACAGAAATACATTCCTTTCAGGCAAAACTCTCTTCTCGCTCATCACTGTAGCGCTGCTGAGCAGCACTCATAAAGGCACATCTCATTCAGAATATTACCTCATTACATGGTCAGGTTTTGCTGGTGGAGAATGTAGAATCTTGGAGTTTGATAATTAAAAACAGGGCTCACCAACCTACAGCTCGAGAGCAACCAGTCACTCCCCATCCCTCTCTAAGTAACTCGCCAAATGATTTATAATGGACAAATATGCTGAATAATTTTACATTATTAAACTATTGATAATGATACA